ACAGTTTGTTGATGGTCATTAACCGATTTCTGCGAATGAATACAAAAAATATATATATGTAACTCAGTACTCACTGCAGTGAGTGACAGAGAGCGAATTTTCTCGTCGACGAAAACGTGAAGTCACGGACGGACAGACAGACGGACGGACAGACGGACATGGCGAGCACAATAGTGCATTTTTTCCATAAATGAGAAAATGCGCTAAAAACATAACATAAGGACTAGTACAAGAAATTTATAAGATGATGCAATTTATATTGCAGTTATAACCTATAAGTAAACTCAAATATGGCGCGGAATGTTTAGCTTTAACATTCGTATTCATTCTATAGTTAGCTTCGCACTATATTTTTACTTATTTCAGTACCCGCATACATTGAGGCCGTTTCACCGGTTCTGTAGAGTTAATGGAGCCTGCTTAACATCAGCATCTTCCATCCTTGCTGCGAATAAAAGCGTGGCAAATGCAACTGAAATGAGCTGAGAAGCACTTGAACCCAAGAAACTTAAGCCGGTATACCTGCGTTTTCTCGTGTGTGCTGGCGACGACTGAACAATGCTGTCAGGCCCTTAAAGTCTGTTAAGTGCCTGTGCTTAATTCAATGCGCCATTTTAAAACATTATCTGCCCATCGTAAATTCAACACAGAATTCCAAGTAATTTATGAAATGCATGCTCTGGTTCGACTCTTAACTGAGGCATACGATTTTTGCATGGGTAATTAAATCATTTGGATTATCCCCGTAGATTTTTTTGCAAAATTAATCGCATGTAGGGAGTATCCGAATACAGCAATTTCGAGAATTTGGAGTCGAACTTCCCCCTTGGCGATTTATGTAGGCTGCACATATATCGTTTAAAAATAATCTACGTCAATTTTTCCTCTGCCGATTGTGACGGAATCATTGAGCATGTACGATTATGAACCAGAATGTATTGTTCTTAATGATTCTAATAATGCTGCCATAGCTTCGATTTTTCAATCGAAGATAAAAATCTGTCAGCTAGAGGCATTAAAAGTAACTTTATTCACTTAATTTAATAGAAAATTATGCTGACAATTGAACTTGGGTCAAAGTTGCTTTTTATTATCACAGGAAGGCGTTGTTCGCTCTCGCATTTGTTGGCAGAGTTCACCCAGCCCATTGAAAAGTTATTCGTTTACTGTGGGGAAAGTTCCCTTAAAACTGTCGCCGGAAAGTTGGTTGGCCAGTTTACAGTTTTGCTAAGTGAAGTTTACATCCGCTTTTGAACGAATAATAAATTACTAAGGAACGTTTTAATGTCACATTACTCTACTAGTGTTATTAACGCTTAGCTTAACAAATTTATGAAGAATTGAAATGGGCTTTAAAACTGCCATAGAGCCGCGCAATTTTTTTCGAAGCTCAATATTCATATTATTATTCATATTCATATTATTTATTACTGTGAAAGAAATAAAACATTCAACTCATCGATAGAAATGAGGTTGAGAAATAAGTATTTCGATCGAGAACAGAACATTAACTTTAAGAGACATTTATGAGCAGTTTCTCCTTTGGCACTCGCATAACTGAAAAATGCTCAAGAAATCATCCCTGAATTAGCGACATCAATGATCCTGTTAGGCACAACTCTTGACTGCTGGCTGGGAATAGCCATTCCTACATCATATTTCAAATTGAGATGCGTTCTGTATTTGGTTTATAGAGACGCTAAAACTGAAAAGCCAGTAGATTTCAGTAAATTTTAATGCAAGATTCACTCTGTACACGAGCCGTAAACCTAAGTTACGAATTTTAATCAGATGTATTTATAGAAATTGGTCCACTTAGGTGTATGGCTCCGATCGAAAGTATAAAAAAACATCAGAAATGCGAAAGGTTTCAACCGTTGAAAGTTTCTCAAATGATTCATCACTCAAGATAAGTGGAAGGTCTCGAATTGCCAGGCCGCTGAAGCTAAAATGCAAGAGTTCGCTTAGTCAAGACGTCGGCCGCTCGCACGAGAGACAGAGAAAATGAACCTAGAAAGGGAACCCCGCTACATAAATAATAACTTCACCCTACACCCGATACTCATGATAGAACGAGTGCTCAAGAAATATGCCTTTATGGGAACGTGAAATCCCACACGGCAACGAGAAGAGATACACGTCAAAAGACTGTGATCGAAGGAAAGCGACAAAAATCTTGCGTTGATCATTTGTTTTAGAGTTCGAACTGGCGTAAGGAAAAGAAGATTTATTTTTCTTGTTGCTGTATTCTACGGAAGGATTTTTTCAAAATTATTATCGACATAGCGACTGAAAGTCTTGGCTGGCTAGATTTCGTGGTCTTGCATATAAATTAAATTTAGTGCCAGTACGTGTCCGTAAATAAAGTTTGTAGCCTTACTATTTAGTATGTAGCTAAACTGTTAATGTTTCAGCGACCATTGCGGTATAATTCATGAGCAATGTCATGATGATAGAAGATAAAATGACACTACACCTCATAGAAAAATCGTGTTTTTTTTCGTTAAGGACGAAATATTCAAATATTAAACTTCAAAAATCAGTGTTAGCCCAATCAGAACATTTTCAGTTTATTGTCAAATATTGAAATCGCCCTAGTTACAATTGACGCGGCACAACGTAAATAGTCTCCTGACGAATATGTGTTATGAGTAGACTAAAAATAATTTTCATTGTGGTGATTATTTTGTTCTCTTTCTCAAATTTGCCGAGCTCTGGGACTAAAACCCGACCTGTGACCAGCCTCGCCATCGTTTGTCATCATTCTATCTCGCTTAGCTGTCAGAGAGATACTAACTCTTCTAAACAGGAAGTCATCATGAAACCGCGCCGGGATTCGTCAACGAATCGCGGAACTATTAAACGTTTAACTATAATCTTCTAAGTATATTTTGTGTACAATTTCCCTATGTTGTTAAAGTGAGTTTAGCTTAACTTCACTAAGCCTAGAAGCCCATGTACGTCAAGAGACTTGAATCCTTTTTTGTAAAGCCGCTACAGTTTCTTCAGCAGCCGAACCTGCAACAACTCGACGATAGTCTCGTAGCTGAAAAAATCTTGATGCCGTCTTGTCCCTGAGGAAAATATCGTCTTTTACACGTTGTTTTAAATCTTTAATTGAACTTGACTAGCCCATGCGCCACGTACAATTGGAAACTGGCACTTGGAAATACTCGAAGGATCTCAAGCCAATTTATTTAAAATAATTATGGCTAGGGCTGATGTTGAATTCTCAATTGCGTGACATCTCAAAAATTATGTCAAAATGATGATGTGACATTTTTACTCTATTTTGGAGTTTTAAATTTAAATTATTAAATAATATATTTGCTATGGTGAGCTTTCCGCAGTTACAAAAATGGTTTGCACTCGCTGTTTTAACCCTAATTTCGTCCAAACCTTGGATCGCCACAAACGTTCTTACATGAGAAACGCTTGAATGCTGTCAATGAAAGGACTGCATGGTCCCAATTACAGCACTAAATGGAATGCTCGGATTACTTTAGCTTAGTAAATACCGGTGCCTACATAAAGCACATTTGCTGGAAATTAATGAATTTCACCTGATAAATATTAATGCAGTAGTAATTCAGATATTCAAGCGTGGAGGAAGATTGATACGTGCCAACGTGCATGATTGAAGGTACCTGCCTGGCTGCACATGAGATCAGTGATTAGCCTTGGCTCATCAGGCGGGCTTAAACACTTACATGGCAAGGTCTCCTTGTTATTGCCAGTATACTGAATATTTTATTTGGGTTCAGTCTTTTTTATTTTTCATTTACATTACTTCGAGAACCATGTCATCCGTTCTCTAAAAAATAATAAATAAATACGTAGAATAGATTCCAAACGCACACATACAGTAAACAAAATCTTTATTTTCATGTAGTACGTACTTAAATATATAAATATTATAAATGGTGAACCGTAACCCCAACCATATAAGCCCTGAAGGGTTTCATCTTATCCCTATTCGACTCAAATCCCTGCAACCTAATTGAGCTCATATCGAATATTTGATTTCTTAAGGTTTTTCCACGTTATTTTTTGCTTCCACTTTCTGACCACAACAGCGGCCCCGCAACAACAATCATTTGACTTCAATGATGTGTCTTCCATCACCGATCAGATGATTAATTACGATACAGAACTGGGAGCGTTGACCAAATGATACATCCTTCCAATGAGCAAACAACCTGCATTGGTAGTTTTGTTTCAAGAGGGAAAACTTTTCATTGACGAGAAAGGGGAGGAAAACGTTCTCTTTCCTTTTACAAAATAAAAGTTGGAAACCGAAACAAGATTATAAGAACGCAGTCATTGGTAACGACGTCGCTTGCACCCTCGACCCTTTAAACGATATAGAAAATCGTTTCATCAGATCGAAAATCAATCAATCAACCAAGTTTCTGACGAAAGCTGCATAAATTTTATTAAATAGAGAACCTTTGAAAGTTTTGGGTTTGTGACTCACTTAAGTAATTTTCCAGATATAAATCAAGACACTTTTGGGCTGGTGATAAAAAATTACACTGGGCATATATTACGTATAGCCCAATACAGAGATGCCGACAGCAAGCTCAAACCCAGAGCGTCCGTGATGGGATGAGCGAGTCTAAGATTTAAGCTGTGAGTCGCTGGTTCAATTCCCAGTGAGCTGGGACAATTCTGCGAAGCCGACAATGAGCCACAGCCTCAACATGGCATAATCTTCGACGCCGGCACAATATCTCTCTTGTACTACTATATCTCCCAGTGGTATAGCGGTGGTTCAATAGTCATATGGTACAACTTGAAATGTTTCAGGTCATTAATTTTGCTGACCCGCGATTTACATCCGTAAATCGTATAAAAAAATCAGGATCAGTAAACGAAATGCTGGTTAATTCGTTGTGATTGATCATCGAAGTCCTCTCTGAAAAACGATGATGGATGTGTAAATATCGCCACAATATTGGAGCTTCATCATATTTTATTAGGATAAAAAGGACCAAATAAGAAACAATAATTGTCCTAAAACAAGTGAAATTACAACCGGATAGACAGATTAAGTACACATATCACAGGGATGCATCAAACAACAAATTCATTATATAAAAAGAACGCACAAGAATAAAACGTGTAAACAAAACAAAAATATTATATTGGAATTGTGTGAAAAACTACCCATACGTCGTTGCATGGCAGCAACAATCGATAAAATCCATCTGATCTGAAAAGCTCTAATAATATTGTTTAAGGGTTGATGTGCCTGCATTCCATAACAGTGATTAGATAGTATATTCAATGCACAAGATCGAATTTATGGCTATTAAAAAATGGTACTCGGCATCAGGAGTGCGATGGACTCGTTAACTCTATAAACAAACGCCCGGAACAAAAATTGTCAAACAACACATCAAAACAATAACAATAGTAATTCTAGTCAGATAATTTTGATATTCAGCATTTACAATCGCTAGAGCTCTGAGCATTGGATAATATCCAAACAAACAAGGGATGATAAGAGATGATTAGCAAAAGCATCAAATACAAAAAAGCAACGAACCGAAATGCAAAAATCGCACGTTCCGCAGGAATGCTAGAAATAATTAATATTAATATTATCTTGATAGCAATTGCAAGTAATTAGTATGCAGTCATCACTTCCACTAATTCTAAAGATTTTGACCACAATGAATTAAGAAAATAATCCGTACTTTAATCGATAATTGACAATAAAAAGCCGTTGTAACAACTAGCCTTCCGAGCGCGTTGCAGAACTCTATGCAGGAGGCGAGGCCGTTATGTCGAATTAAGATGAATTTGTGAGCTCCCAATAGTGGACATAAGATTCTTAATCGCGCAACAGCGGTAGGCAGGCAGTTGCCAGCGTTTACCAGTAGTTGCAACTTTTACTCCAACAATTGAGTTACGCCGATTAAATAATTACTAAATTGTGGACAAGAAACTGATTTTTTCAGGTTCAGGAAGTACCGTAGTCAACTGACGTAAATGCTCATTGCTATTACCGACCGAGAGTACGAGATACTCCAAATATGGATGTATTTAGTTCAAGTGAACTTGATTACCATAAAATTAAGAAAGACCTCATAAATGGTATTATTAACGTACACAACGCAGATAGTTTCGATAGCATAGTTAGTACAGACCAACCGAGATAATGTGAGACTCGTCAAAGACAGATCCAGAGGATAGACCGGGCTAACCTGCAATATTTAAATGAACACTCTTTGTTAAATGAGAACTGAAGAACAAATTATATGAAAATAAAAGGTACATAGAAAAAAAATAGCAACACACGAGACGAGCGACAATAATGCAGAGCGATTGAAGTAAGACGAATAATTTTCTCGTGATTATTATTTAATTTCGCAGAAACTAGTTTTCTAGATGATCAACACAACAAAAAATAATGCGCTCTAAGACCTTTCATCTCATAAAAATATTCTATAATGACATTAACAAAGCACAGGTGGAAAAGTTACATGAGTAGGAAACAATAGAATTAAGTGAAATATATGCAAGGGATAAAGTAAAAAATTCTAACATTAAGGAATGCTTCTGCAACAACCGATGAAACCGCTTAAAATACTACGGAAAGATGGGCGCATTCACAAATTTCAGGAAAAAATCCAACATAACCTAGGGAAGCTGAGTATGTAGGAATAACGAGCCCGGCGCATGATTTACAAAATTTTAAAATTTTCGTCCTAAAAACAGCTCTTCTAATGAGTTGTTGTACAAGTGGTACCGGCTCAGCCAATAATTGTTGCATGTTGAATGCTAAGATGTAGGCTGGGGACTACCAAGCATAGGCACTACTGTAGAGAATGGTGAGTCAGTCTGCTTGATCTCTTGTTGCTCTTCTTGTGCTTGTTGCAGCGAGTCTTGTGGTCCAAAGAGTCTGGCTGAGTCAAGGAAGGCGACTTTCCGGCGCCTGTATTCATTCAGACGACAGACGGAGTATCTGTGACAGAGAAATTCGTTTTAAAGCTGGAAGTATAAACTAAATGAACTTAATAAAGAAAATTGGTAGTTGTATTCTCGTCGCATGCCATGACTGGGTTCATCAATGTCATATAAGATTAGTGAGGAAATAATTAATGTGGCCAACTAGTGGCTTCTATTGCTGCATGATTATCCTTTCTAAAGAAACTGTCAGAAAAAATATATGAAATGTTACCGTAACAAGCGAACGATTCCCGGAATGTCATGTGTATTAGAATGTTTCACAATGTGAACAATTCTACATTTCCAATTTCACAGAGCTAGAATGTGCTACGATTGTAAGGTGCATTATCACACTGTAAGTTCAATGCAACCACATTCAGGCTCACGCATTTGAAAGGATGCCCGCACCACCTTCACAGCATTTAGTTACCAACACGGGCGTCCTACGTAACACAAGTTGTATGAAATAAAACTACAAGTTTTACCCTGCAAAGTCGAATTGTATGGAGGAGTGATGGGCCTGCACCAGAGCCCAGGTGCCCCAGAAGAGATGGGAAGCAAGCGCCAGTGCCTTGACCGCTGCCAGCCACCACGCTAGGGGACGTTGTGAAGGCTTCTTTAAGCGCGACAGATACCTGGGTACATTTTGTTTTGTTAATTTTATTTCAAGACCCGTGATCCAAGGTGAATCTTATTTTACATCCGAGAGTTGACGATCATCCTCACATTAGCAGCGTCACTAGGGTAATTCACCAGGAAATTGCTACTAGTATACACTAAAACTTCCAGAAAAGTACAGGGGTTGCACATTCAAAGTATAGGGGTTGGAGGGAAACGGGAAACACTCGTAATTTTGAACATGTTATAAACAATGACAATGTGACAGATTTTTATGTTTTAGTTTTTCTGCAAATTGATATTTTATCCTTGCACAGGTATTTTTAGTAAATTTTTGTGTCGATAACCTAAGCTATAACCAATAAATGGCAAAACTCTCTGCATTTCAAAGAAGCCAAATTGTTGGTGCCCGCATGGCAGGTGCTAGTGTGAGAAAAGCTTCTGGAATGCTTGACGTTTCTAGAATTGCTGTTTCAAAAGTAATGATTGCTTTAAAAAAATGATGGAAAAACTTCCTCAGCAAAGCACAGGTTTGGCCCAAAGTTGAAGTTGTCTGAGATGGTGAGGGACAATCGAAAGACCACGGCTGTTAAAATTACTACAGACCTCAATGGACACCTACAAAACCCAGTTTCCATAAATACTGTCCGCCGAGAGCTGCACAGATCTGGATTTTATGAAAAAGCTGCAATTAGAAAACCTCTGGATATCACTGAAGCTGATAAACAACAACTTAATATAGAAGTTAAAATAATGTAGGTAGGTATGTATGACTTTGCAATGACACCATTATACTCACTGAGAGATCCAAAGTGTCTGGTACTCCTCAGATGGGTAGCGACTGTAGTCCACCTCGTCCACACCTGCAACATGACAAGCAAATTAGAGGAAATGAAAATAAAGCAATCATCATAGCTGTATCATTAATAGAGCAAGTTATAAAATAGAATAATGTAGAATAGAATAATCAAGTTATAAAAAAGAGTAAAAATTATTCGAAATTATTTTGAACACTTCAATCATATGATTCATATCACAAATTGCAATGCCAAATGAATAAGGGTGTATTGGAAAATTTTTCTATGAAGAAGCACTGTTTTTGTTACCAGTTCCTATTAGCCTGGATTGAGATCATTTGAGCTATCCCTATAATACATCTATTTAGTGCTTTTTAATAAAACTCATCAAAATGTAGCCAGCATGCACTGCCATAGAAATCTGAAATAATTTTTTTTTCGGCAATTATATACGTAATTGGTTTGTTGCAGGGCCACTCCTGCATCAAATGCCAACTAGAAATAATTCTCAGTACATGCATTTTACAAATTCTGGATTTACCTGCATATTCACAGAAATGATTAGCAATATCAAAAGGCTGGAAGTTGGGGGCAGCATATTCAAAGTCAATGAAATGAACACGCCTCTCTTCTTTGTTCCAAATGACGTTTGCAAGCAGAGTATCGTTGTGGCAGAAGGTTACTGGACAGTTCAAACCTCTGACAGCTCTCTCAACTTCTGCCACTTCATTCTTAATGTTTTCCTTGGTGTAGCCTTCTAGCACTGCACTGAATGCCAGAAATTACTAAAAATAAGGACAAACACATCTATCTGCTCTTAAGGAGCCTAACAAATATTCTACATTTTTTTCTCTATGCATGAAGTATTCATATGCATCTTAAGTAATAACCACTGCAAACCTAAATGAGCATACAGTTTAATGATTAAATTCCAAATCTGATGTGGCAAGATCAGAGAAACTTGGGAAGAATCGGTATTGTAAAATATCACAAACAAATGGAAGGTTTCATGAAGTGCCATGGCTACATACCTTTTGAAGCAAACTTCAGTATGCAATTCCGGCAACAGATCCATGAACAGCTGAATTTTTTTAAACAACACAGGGGCACCCAAGGTCTCATCCCACTGCACAGAATATTATAGTAGCATGAAACCCATGCTTTAGAATTTAGATAGTGCAACCAAAATTTTTTTCCAAGAGTAATACAACTCAGGCAGGAATGATTGTTGCTGAATCAATTGGTCGTACCAGACAGTCAGTAGTGAGTGAAAATAATGCATTCAACTCATAATGTATGAATAAATATGTTTGAATTTAGTTAATCACTTGCTCATCAATTAGTACTTAGATTTGTAGCAAAGCTATTTGTCCAAAGTGACTACATATTAATGCACTTTAAATTAAACAATCATATCTTCAAATACAAATTACACTATTTCATGCAGCTTAGAATGTTATATCATTTAGATTTACACACTTCGATGGAGTGAAGGTCTGCCATGCAAGTGAGAGTTGCAAGGCGGATGTCCTCTTGCATCACAGTATCTGTGGTGAGAGGCACTCCAACAGTGTAGGAGTAACATATGCCATTTTTGAAACTGCACAGAAGAGATGGGCCACATCCTTTTGAATGCAGTCGCTGCACAATTCAAGTTGGTCTTAATTGACATTCAAGGTAAGCCAGAAACAAATTCAAGGGAAGAAAAACTGATGCATTTAGATACATTTTAGAATAAAATAAATTGAACTTTAGTCTTGAGATTCGAGCTTGAATCATATACCTACACCACTGCAAATGCACAAAATACAGAATTTGCTAACTTCACGGCTTTCTAAAGCATAAACAAATGTTAATAACCAAATTACTCAATTTCTGAAGCCACTGACCTGTATATTACGTTTTTCTGCACCACGATCAATAAAGAGTTCAGTGCTTTTGCCATAGACCCGAACAAGCACTTGCTCTTCTTTGGTTAGGTCATGGGGCCAAATTCCTACCAGCTGGTTGGAGATCCCCTCATTATACACCTGCAAAACTGCAAAAACTACACCACTTTGCTTTGAATAATATTTAGCTTAAATTATTTGAAATCACTTTATATTTGTTAAGGAGTCTTTCATCACTTCATCACACATTAGATAATCCAACAAATTTTCAGAAAGTATCCAATTACCACCTGGCATAGTTCAAGACGTTAAAACCTTACCTTGAAATTGAATTTGGATTTGTCCCACAAAGGCCTGGCAGCAGCAGCAACAAGAGCGGCTCCAGCACACAGAGACTCTTGAGTTCTACCATCAATGGACAATTCTAATTCCATTACTCAATTTATTAGCATCTAGAGGTGTTAGAATTGTTATCTATTAACTCTTTACCCAAAACTCTGAAAGTGTTTATAGTTTTTATTCAGTCTCATCACCACTGTCAAAAAATATAACTCAGTCACTGCAGTGAGTGACAGAGAGCGCATTCTCCCATCAACAAACACGTGAAGTCATGGACGGACAGACAGATGGACGGACAGACAGACATGGCGAGCACAATAGTGAATTTTTTCCATAAATGAGAAAATGCGCTAAAAATAATGTTTTAAAGTAACTAGTCAAAATAAAGTGTCCAAACAAATGTCATTAGTTGACTACTTATTTGATCAATCAAATTGAATTTACAAAGCAGGCCAAAGGTGGGCCATTAAATATTTCTAATGTCTTACTTTAGTCCTGGCTTGTAAACTGGAAAGAAGACTTTTCAACTCTCTACAAGGACTTGCATAAATTTTGTGATGGATGTGAGCAAGTGGCAGATGGCAGCCAGGCAGTGGTACTATTATCATGGCAGTTAGGCAGTAGCAATGGCAATCAAATGAGAAGTGTTGTAAAATGGAAATCTAGAATTCAGTGTGAACAAGATTAGATGGTCATATTTTTACAGCAGAGTTGCGCAATGAATTATCCAGATTCTAGTTTACTCCAAGGGCAAGTAAGCTCATCTGGAATATTGTACCAAATTTTTTGTTAATTACTAGTAGAATTTATCTTTTAATGGAGCCTGGAAAACTTGAATACTTTTGGGTAAAATGTGCTATTTTTTACATTCTAAGCTCAATTGTAAACAATGCTGGCAAAATGGCGGACAGCCACTTTCTGCATCGGCGCACACAAGGTATTTAATTTTGAATGTCCTGCCCAAATGTTAGCTTAATTTGATTGACTTGTGTTTGGAAATGAACTAAAAAAACATGAACTATGACAACACCACCTTGTTTTTTTGAGAAATGTCTATCAGTTACTTGCTTAGCTGGGATGTGTAAGGAAAAACATTTGAGCTGAAAAAAAAACTTGATATTGTATTTTGAAATTAATGAGAGATAATTTAAAATCAAGAATACAATTCTTAGAGCATGCTCTACTCTCCAGAAAAACTTCCACATTTACTAACAGATCTTTCTGAAACTTCACACATATACCGGAAATGGGGTTACTTTGACCGGCGGGGTAACTTTGACCACTTTTCATTTTTTTAACAAAAACCCCCAAAGCTCAAAAATGATTTGACATCGAAAAATTTCATCAATGGCCATCAAAGGCCTAATACTGAGGCTACGTAACACAATAGAAAGATTTAAAAAGTTTGCATATCTAATAGATTAAAAAATTAATAATGTGACCCACGAAAAAGAGCTATTATTTAAAGCCTGTAGGAGTACCCCCTCCAATTTTTTTATTTTTTGGTAAAATAACTCCAGGTTTTGATGCATTGTAATAGAACTCTTCTAGTTACATATGCAAATGACAAATTTTAGGAAAGTGTCATAGTTTGCAAATGGGGGGCGCTGCCCCCCAAGATTTCAGTCGTCCCACAACTTCCACTGAAAAGAACTCTTCCTGACCATGCGTACGCAAGCGCGGAAATTGTAGCGGATCAAATCAGACTCATTTACCTGATTTAGTATAGCAGCGCCAATGCGCCATGATTGATTAGACATTGATGGCACGTCGCCAATTCTTGCCATTATCTGCTTAGAAGATTTCATACAACTGAATATTTGATCCAATCAATCCAAGCCTACTGTGATGCTATTAGACTGTTTTGATAACCTAAATAAATGTCGTCATAAATAAATAAATAAACTACGCTGCAACTTGTCCATGCGACAACATTTTATCTCGCTTCGAATCACCGACATGTGGAACAGCCTCCCTGAATACATCGTTGGCGCTCCGAGTATGAACGCGTTCAAGAACAGACTAGATAAAGCTATGGAAAAATATATGTTCAGAATTGAAATGCCTAGAATCATATCGAACACGGTGGAAGTCTAGCAGCTATTTCAAACTATCGTCAGTCACGAAAAGATCCTGTCAAATGACACGGTTTTAGATCTCCTGTGAACAAGTCACGAAAAGTTCATGAATCGGCGACAGGCCACATCAGGCATACTCTTTAGCGCCGACATCACTATGTTATGTTATGAACTTTTGTTAACTCATTTGTAATTATTGTGAAAATCAATAAATTGAGCTACAAATAGAACTTGTGATGTGAATGGGCTAGCAGAATAATTCGCGTGTGAATAAGCGAAGCTCCGAAGACCGTGTTGACGCATGGTCTAGTGTGAACGCTAAGGTGTGTTGCACACACGTTCTACCAGGCGTGCTGTAAAGTCGTTTTACCATTCAATGTTATGTGAACTGACGAATTCGTCGGTAAGGGTCGACGTGATGGCTATGTTGAATTTTCGTTGTTGGGATCTCGGCAAACACTTCGTAAAATGCCAATCACTGTTTCCAATACGGCCAATTCTAAATCACTTTACTCAATAAATTTTCATGTTCGTACCTATACTGTGGCGTGTGTATCATGATTAGCAAATGTTCTACTGCCAAATTGCAGTAACTTCTTTACGTTTTATTACGATGTTTTAAACTCTGTACACATGTGTGGGGACTAGCACCCGACTACATTTAATTATTACTTAACTTTGAATCCATTTCAGGGGTTTTTAAGGCCAGGTAACAATAGTTATGCCAATAGAAACAGATTGAAATTAACTAATTAACTAGGGCGGCTTGATGTGATTGGACGGTTAATAACAACAAACCTAAGATTGCCAGTAGTTATTCTTAGCTCACGTGACCTGCTCGATGATGGTGGCCCCGGGACGGACTGGGAGATCACGGCACGTGGTGATGATGAGGTTATGAGGTGTCAGGAGCACGTGGTGATGACGAGGTGTCAGGAGCACGTGGTGATGACGAGGTGTCAGGAGCACGTGGTGATGACGAGGTATCAGGAGCACGCGGCGATGACAAGGTGTAGGATGACGTGATGCACGTGGCGTTGTCCGAGAGTAGGTCGCGGAAACAAGTCCTCATGTGTTTACCAGCAGACCTAGTTAGCTATTGAGTCCACGGTGTCACTGAGAAATTGCCATACAGCATATGTGTCACATAGACACGTGATGGATCACGCGATCAAGACCTTAGTAGTGGGCGGAAGCGAAGCTTATGAAAGGGCTAGTAACCTTAAATAAGCCTCCGCAGTTGTCGATAAGCGCTCTGCGATATAGCGTGTCTGTTAAGTCTCCGACCTTACGGTCGATGCCGTAGCTTATACCTCTGTATCGCAACTCTGTATTACCACCCCGTATACAAGATACGTTATCTGGACAGATGTGTCTTACCCTCACTACCTTAGTCGAAGAACCCGATCCTCAGGTAGTGCTTAATATAATGAGTTCAAGTCATGAGTGCAACCTCGGACAGCGTGGTGAGATGCCGGGGCGTGGTGAGATGAACGTGGAGTTGCAAGTGATGTTGAGAGAGACACGAGGAGTTGCATGTGTTGTAATGATGTTGTGACAGAGGCAGCAATGTGTGTATTGTTGGTGCTGACGTGATGTTGCACGGTCCTACGGAGCAGCTGCTGGTCTAGAAGTGAGCCGTGAGAGGTCAACCGGAAATAAGTGTTGCCAAAGGAAGCAGTGATTCGCTAGCATGAATTCTCTCTACACTGAGTACACTCTTTCCTTGAATATAAAGGAAGTTATGTAGCGAGATCCGATAGGTTGAGAAGCCATTTTAAACACGCGTTCTACAAGACATGTTGCAAAGAAGTATTAATACGCGACCTATCAGGCGTGTTCTAAATGCCTTTTTTTCAACACGTTTCATACCTACCACACTGCAACGGCACTTTAACACTCGTTCTACTACCAGGCGTATTGTAATGACGGTTTGTAACACGCGGTCTGCCAGGCGCGTTATAGCGGCTTTTTAACATTCAATGTTGTCTGAACTGACGAATTCATAACTGATGGTCGATGTGATGGCTAGGCTGAATTTTCCTCTTTCCTCATCACGATCTAAGCGAACTTACTGAAATGACAAATACACCGTTTCGTAAATGGCAAATTCTGGATAATATATAACGGATCTAATTTTTGTAACCATTCATGCGATGTTTCCATCATGATTATTAAATGTTCTAACGCCAATCTGCTGTAACTTCCTCAAGTTTTATTATGTTATATTAAACTCTATATAAATGAATATGATGAGCTCATGACCACATTAGTCATCCCTGTCCTGAATTATTCCTAATGGCGACAGCAGATAATTTTATGTTAGAAATATTGCGATCAATTATGAAAATTCGGACAATTTCTAGTCACAATGCGTACACTTAAGATCGAAACACATATTGACAACCTTTGCCAAGAGATTTTTAAACTATATTATATTAATAGTTTGAAATGTATTGACACAAGCGGGGTAATTTTAGTGCCTGCAACACCCGCCCTCCTGACGCTGCCGACCTCGAACTGCCCCAAGTAGAGCTGCTCACTCAGTACCTCCTGGCCGCCGACACCCAAGCCCTCGTCAGCAGTCATGAAGTGAACCTCGCACGTCACGGTCCTGACAAAGGCGCCGATGCTGCTTCTGTTGCGCGCCCTGCAGACGTCGCCGCGCGTCCTCTATCGCCGTCACCTGTCAAGCGGCAACTCTCGTCCTACAGTTCATTACAGAGGAGTGATGACGTCATGTATTTCAGTCCACATCGAAATCACTCACACGTTCACGAGAATTGCTTCCGCGTTTAGCCATTAAAATTAACAAGTAATTGGAATAAGATTGTATCATACATTCTTCATTATTTCTCCCACCGGTCACCCGCTCATACATTTTTCGCGAGTAGTAGTGATGTTAATTCTTATAAATTTTTTTTTTGCACTAATGGATTTATCACACGATATTTATAAAAACTAGAAAATGTTTACTCTTCATCAGGACTTCTGGCCTGCAACACCTCGCTGTCCTGCAACTCTCGTCAGGACTTCTGGCCTGCAACACCTCGCTGTCCTGCAACTCTCGTCGGGACTTC